CCATCAAATATTTATCAGTGAAAGTTGGTAAAACTGAGAAATTATTTATGGCCCAAATTTTGAAATGGTCACACTTTGAAGGGGGAGATTAAAAAATAAAAAAAAAGGCATGCGTTGGGAACTACACATTTCTTGCCAGGGCACACGCTCTCAAATCCACCCTGCTGTCTAGAATTCAAAACTGAGAAGGAAATCACAGGTTTGAAGAAGTATATTCACGACTGGGTGTTTTACCCTTTTTTTCAAAAACATTGAGAGATATGATTGAGGAAGGGCAGCCCCCAAATTCTAGCAATTTAGCTACTTACCAACTAATTTATTTGGCAGATAGAAAAATTATGCATCAGTCAAAACTGTTTCTAATCCCTAGAGCTGCCTGGATAGCCTTTCTGTGAATACACAATTCGACATGGCACAACCCTGAACTGAGAAAACCCCCCACAGAGGGCTAATTTGCTGCAGCATCTTGCTTTTGATGTCTTTACCCTTTCATATATGGGCCTCCTTCTTTAAAGGAATTCGGATTGTCATAAAACACGACAAAAATTAAAAAAACAAACAAACAGATACTTCGTCTGCATTCACCCACTTGAAATGCAAAACAAAAAAGTGCCACCTTTGTGCCAGCATGCCAACTCTTGTGTTGTTTATCATGATTTTATATTTAGCTAAACTTTTTTCTAGCATAGTATTATGAAATTCCTAAACATATGGGTAAGTAGAAAGGAGTTTACAGCTATTGAGCATTCACCCATCACCTAGATTCTACCATTAACAATTTACTGTTTTATCATACATACATCTATCCATTGACCATCTCTCAGTCCAAATTTTTTTTGGTGTGTTTCAAGGAATTAAACTTAATTTTAATGCTGTTTTAAAGGGAACAATTGTCATCATTGATATTTTATTCCACGAAAGAGAATTCTCAGATGGCACTTAGTAGCCCTGAGCATATTGGTTAAGAACACAGACTTTGAAATCTCAAGGAGCTGCTACAAAGCTTGTCTCTGCTATGAAGGGACTATGTGACTTAGGATTTGTTACTTCATCCCTCTGAATCTCATTACTCACATTTGGCGCATTCAAAGATAATCCCCATGGGGTTATTATTATGAGACTTCAACATAATAGATGAAAAGTGCTTATAATTTACAGTACTGGGCAAATAATAAATTTGTGATAATTTTTTTCCACTCTTCTGTAATCTTACAAGATCAAGGATTGCTTTCTTTTGTCCTTAAATCCCCAGCCTCTAGCACAGTGCCTTATAAATAGCAGAAACTGAATATATGCTTGTTGACATGAATTGGGTTGAATTTCAGAGATTTTCCCTCCTGGGATGCAGTGAGTACTTATTAATGGAGAAAAGCAAGTACAGTGGTTTCAAAGGCCTAAGACACAACAAAGGTACCTCAAGAAATGAAGTTGGAGCAGAGGATGAGACAAAGACAGAGAAAACCTAGCCTGTAAAGCAAAAGAATTTATATCCAGTTTAGTGATGGCACAGAAGTGCCCTGTCCTGTCCCTTGGACCTCACCTTTTCAGTGGGCATCAGCAAGACTTCTAGCTGCCACGTAGCTTGTTGCCTGAAGGCTCTTCTCCAAGTCTCAAAAAGCCCTGTGCCTGTGTACAGAGCACAGGGCAGGCCAGATGCACTGAAGAATTATACCTCTAGGAGTGGTCCTCAAAGTCTGGTGGGCCTGGCATATAAACACCCTAGCTCCCTTCCCTGTGGAGAGAATAACCCCAAGACTATGCTTTATACAACTTCCTAGCTTTTCCCTCATAGGATTACAATTCACTCACTCAGAGGGGTAGTTGCCTTGATAAACAGGCCTCTCAAGTGGCTGCTTCCCTTCCCCATCTTACTTCATCTCTCCCTTACCAGTATTCTCTTGACCTCCTAAATAAACTAGCTGCATTTGAATTCCTGTCTTGGGGAACCCAAAATAAGACAAGTGTCTTTACACTTTTATAATCACGGAATCTCTTTAAATGGCGTTCTACACTGAAGTCCAATATGGAATATTTATAAAAGTAGAGCTTCCCTGACTCAGACAGTTTGGGTGGATAGGAATGATATGTGGAGGCCAGAGTGCTACCTCTTTGGTCTCCTTTCCCTTCTCTCTACCTCCCTAGCACTCCCTGAAGATGCCTATAAGATCTCACAGCTCTTCAGAGCACTGTTTGTCAGTTACTGGTAGAGATGACAATGGTAAAAGATATAAAGAAAAGGATAAGATGAATGAATAAAAGCAAGAAACACGAAGAGAAAAAAATGTTCCTTCAAAGGCATAAAAAGCATGGAAAAACAAATAACTTTTGGAAGGCAGTGCAGTTATTCTACATAAACCATGTGGAGGTTTGGGAGACTTTCACACATTACAGTGTTAACAGACTACCACATTTAGAAAAACAGTTGATTTGTAGAGATTCCAGGTTGACAGCCCATGTGGGCAGTACATAAGGGACTAAGCACAGAGGAATACTCAGCTTGGAAACAAAATTGTGTTTTGAGGCTATAACAAATAAGAAACAATGCAGAAGATGATCCTGGTTAGCTGCATGCTTATTGACCCATTATTATCTCAAGGAAAGAGTCTTATGAAAACTATTCGAATATACTAAGAAGGATTGAAGGAAGCTTTAGGATGACCACATAAAATTTAACGTCCAAATCTGGACACGTTTAAGGGGAAAGGTGGTGCTAATAATTATGGCAAGACAACCAATTTTCTGAGCAAATCACATGCATGATCACTCTTGTTATAATCTAATTAATGGACTTGAAACTCCAACACTGAAAGTATTAATGGTAGACAGGAGAGGATTAGATCAGACCTCCACAAACTTGTGTGTGCTTCAGAATCACCTGAAAGGCATGCCCCACCAGATTCCTGGCCTTATTCCAAGAGTGGTCCTGGGGTGGGACCTAAGAACGTACAGTTCTAGCAAGGAAGCAGGTGATGCTGATGCTGCTGGCTCAGTCTTGGCTGCAATTGAGAATTACCTGAGATCTTTAAAAAATACTAATGCTTGTCCTCAGCTACTGACCAACTGAATCAATCTCTGAGAGTGGAGCCTGGCATCTGTGTTTTAACTGTCCCGGGTGATTTTGATTCACAGTGAGGGGTGAGAACACCAGGCTTAAAGAATAACCACGAAACTTATGTCTCTGAAGCTGTTTAGAGGAAGAATCCACACTTGAGGACCTTGATCATTCTCGGCTTCGGGGAAAACTATGCCAAGCCATCACAGCACTAGGGCTGTCTAAAGGGGCGGGGCTCATCAGCCCCACCACGGTTCACTTGGAACAGCTCTTCTTCCCTTTACATCATATCCTGCACTCCTGGCAAGGTTTTACTTAAAGAAAGACATCTGATGCGGTAGTAGTTTAAAATCATAGATATGGTGATTATTAGGGTATTGATTATCAATACTTCCAATTCTCTATAGAAGTGGATTTCTAACAGTTCAAGTTACCCTCACCTCTCCCCCAGATCACTATAAAACCCTCCTCTGAGCCTGTCTCTTTGTGTTCATTCCTCCCTATCACTCTGTTCCCACAAACCATTCCTATAGGCAGCCAGAAAGATCTTTCAAACCACACACACAGTATGCCCTCACACACATTCACACACATTCAACGTGCACACACATACACTCACACACGTGTGTGCGCACGCACATACACACATACACTGTGAAGACCTTCCAGTGGTTTCTTGCTGCATGCACAACAAAATCCCTACCCTTCACCATGGCCTCCAGGCTCCTATGACAGGCCAGCTTCTCTGACTTCAATTCTTACCACTTTTTTCTTTTCCCACCACATTGCAGCCACCCAGGCAATTTGTTCCTAAGATATGTACCATTGTTTCCCATCTCCAGGCCTTTCCATGTAGTTCTCTCTGCCAAGAATGCAGTTTACCCAGCTCTTCCCATGGCTTGTCCCCTTCTCATCCTTCCAATCTCCTCTCAAGTGTCAGTAACTCTGACCAGCCTTTCCCAGCCATCTGCGTAAAGATTCCCTCCTCTCTCTATTCCCTGGTCCTGCCATTTATTCTTTTTCACATCATCCTGTTTCTGTTTTCCATAGTATTTGTTATCCTTTGCAATTTTCTTGTTTATTTATTTACTCATTGAAATATCTGTCTCCTTGCTAGAATATAATAAGCTCTATCACAACAGGGGCTTGTATGCTCATTCACATCTATATTCACCTAGTGCCAATCTTGACATCCAGAATATAACAAGTGCTTCTTATTCATTTAATGAATGACTCAATAGTCCAATAGCACCAGTCATTGAGATTATTCATTCAACTGAGCACTATTGTTCAAATTTCAAGTTCACCAAAAAATACAAACAGGTTAAAATTTAATTCTCCATGTTGACTCTCCTATGGGGAAAGAATGTGTTGATCAGGCACATTGATATTTCTGTTGACTTAACAGTGAATACTTTCTATTGGAAAAGTTTTTGTTTTGATTTACGCAACAGTACTTTCTGGATCTGGTTGGTATGATTTAGTTCCTTTGATCTGGTTTAGTTTTTAGAAAGCTGACCCAATGATGCTCCTGGAATAACACATTTGCAAATTAGGATCTAAATTAAAAGGCCACAAATATCATACTGCTATAATAAGAACTTATCTGAAGGGTTGCCTTGACATCACCTACAAAAGCAACGAGTCTATTTCTTAACCAATGACATTTTTCTGACACAACTTCAGCATCATTATCTACCACATAGATCTCCAAATCATGATATTCAAAGCTGTTGTTATAGTTGTTTTTTTACAAATTCCTTTTTTATTGTTGTTCGATAAACTTCCGACATTTTTTTTTTTTTTTGTAAAACTGTTTGGCCTCTTGTCATAGAGGAATTGAGGCCAATTCCAGCTGGTCACCTAGACAGCCACAGTCAGCCTGTTTCATGCACGCTCATCTCTTAATAAAAACATGCTTTTGTCATTTGTCTTTTGTCTGACTTACCTTGCCAACATCTCTTGGGAAAGGTTGTCTCTGATTCTCTGGAATTAAAATGGGAGATACCACAATGGACCTCTTTTGTCTTGGGACGGGAGAAGTTCTTGCAAATTTAAATATATCCTAAAAGAGAAAACAAAATCAATCAACCAAAATCCCCCATGGAGAAGATGTATCAGTTTGCTCTGAGATATGGTTCTTTGTTGTGAAGGAATACAGCTGTTTGGACATTGTTAATTTTATTCTATCAAACCTCATTAGCGTTAGAAAGTACATCCTTAGAATTATACTAAAGCTGACATTGTGATTCACAATGACTATCATTAAGCTATTTAATTTCATTTTCTGAATCATTCTATTCATAATGTCAGTCTTGATTTATACATCCTTTAGTGCTTATGCATCTCCACTCTTTATCTGTCAAGTGAGGAAATTACTCACCTGGTCAGGAACCCACAGAACTCACTGGATATAAAAATGACTGTCCTCATGGCCAAATGCAAGGTCCTCACACTCACAAGTGAATAGGGAGGAAGGGGCAATCACAAAGTTCCAAACTGCCAGGCATTATGGAGAGCAGTGGTCCATGTTTTCTCAAGGACCCTTTGTTGTCATAATTAGTGAGAGGACTGTTGTGATGCGCTTCCTGGCAGTGTGCGCTACACTTCAATCACGGGAACGCCACCGTCGGAATTTCTGTCCCATCTGTAACTCACGTTTTTGGTGAAATTAATATGTCCACAATTCCCGTTATATCAATATTTTAAATAAAGTACCAATATTGCTTGTTATAAAAAGTATGAAAACATAAAAATAAACATATTGAAGGCCAAATGACATTATTAAATTTGAGCTAGAAACTCCAGGGAAAAAAGCTCCTTTTTCAAAAAGAAGATAATAAAGGACTAGAGGGATCTTAAAGTGTTGTTAGCATCCAGCTGAGACTTTCTCCTTGATCTGATCAGAGGACCGAAGAGAACTGAAAATAGAATATCATTTTCAATATGTAAACCAGTATTACTTAATGTCACCTACTAACTAAAATGATCTTATATATCATGGAAAGTAAGCATCTCAAACTTTGGACAACAGATTCTTATTAAAATAATGTGGCAAATAATATTTAAATATTATCACTGACACATGCTCCATAGAAGTATATGTATGCATAGGTCTATGTATGTATATATGGTATGTATGTGTGTATGTATATATGTGTGTGTATACATACATATATAAATACATAGACTTATACATACTTATACTTACATATATATCATATATACACACATATACATATATATCATAGTTTTAAAGGAAAATCTACATAAGAAAAGTCAAATAGGAAACAATGTTAGCTAAGGCTATAAATAATCTTTCTCTTGATGTTGGTGGGAGTGTAACCTGATGGTACTCTTGCGGAAAGCAATTGGACAATGTTTATCTATTGAGAAACTTACAAATGTACTAATCCTTTCACTCTGTAATCTCACTCCTAGGAATACATACAAATACTAAATTCAAAAGAAGAATAAAACTGTATGTAGGACGAAATTTAGTGAGACATTACCTATAAAGGGCAAAAGTGGCAAACAACCTAAATGTTCAACCACAGGACAAAATTAAATTTGGGTCCATAAGTGGGAGACCCTCATGGCAGTGGTGAAGCCCATGTTCTAATCACATTGTCATCATTTGACTGCATCCACAATTACCACCACGAACTACTATCATAGTAACAGTTTATTAAGTGTGTGTTGGGCAAAGTACTAGGCACTTTAGATGTATCTACTCTAATATTTGCAATAAAGTTCCCAAGGAATTCTTACCCTCCTAAACCAATGAGGAATATCAAGTTTAGTGGTTATGTTAGTTGCTCCAATTCATCTAGCTAGCAGAGAGAATATACAAATAACATGTGTAGGAAAATACAGAATGCCATATTGGATGCCCTCTATTTTATATAAACTATATTGAACACAGAAAATAATATTCAAAATCTCAATGAATAAGTCCAAATAAAACACTCTTTGGTCTCTAGGAAGGCCAAAGAAACAATATTCAAGCAAAGATAGAAAATTGGAGCATGTATATGTAAAAGAAAATGAGGTGAGAGTAAGAAGGATTAAAACAACAACAATAACCCAACCAACCAAAAAAAATGCATATATATATAACCCAACCCAACCAAGCAAAAAACAGCATAAAGAGTATGGAACAATAAAAAGACAATGAAAAACGGAGAGGATTATATTCATAAAACACTGACGTGTAACATCTATGAAGATTCTGTTGGTCTATTAGGGAACAAGAAAAGAATAGAAAATATGTAAAATATGTGCAATATATGAATCTCATTTATAATAAAAAAAATTGAAGCTCAGATGAAAGAATGTCTAGGAAAGCACTTTGAAAAGATTTAAAGTTCTATGCAAATGCAAGGGATTAGTGATTGGGCTCTATAACAGCCAAATGTATGTAGGCTTTAGTTCATTATGACGATATATGTGTAAATGTATCTAAAGTAATGCAAAGCATACTGCATAGTCAATAGCAAACTTTCCCGTTGTTTGCAGTAAAGGACTTGTTTGTGTTGGTAAGTCTGTGAATGGGTGCTATTTTTGGCTTCATGAGTGCCCAGAGAGTGCTCAAGTCCCTGAGTCCCCATTCCGACTTTTGATGTGCTCCCAGCTCACAAGATATAGCCAAACCTGCAACTGCCAGTCTATTTCTTCAACTCGCACAGCATCCCAGGAACTTGGCAACAAGCACAGTTGTGTCAACCCCTGGGTCTGATGTGCCTAAGAACAAAGAAAGGAGGCTCTGAGTCCCAGGATGGGAAATAGCATCTGGAAGGGAGAGAGATGGGAAGTAGAGTGACCAATTATAAGATGTCCGCATGGGTCTTTGAGTCTACCACAGTGGGATGACCCACGGCATTTTTTTCCCCAACTCTCAATTTTTGCCTTACAATGAATACTTGTCCATGATGTGTTTCTACGTCTGTGACTCTGCTTCTTTCTTTGTCAGTGATTTACACATATATCTATGACTATGTGTTTATTGACAAATGTCTACCTGTATATTTGGCCACTGTGTCCACCTTTGATTGTATCTGTACTAATGAGTTTTTCTGTGTGCTCTGAAGTCATGTGCTTCTGTGAGACTGGGATCATTTAGGAGCCATAGCATCTGATTTGAGTGACAATCATTTACTATATGCATATCTAGGCACATATGTGTGAAACCATATTTATGTTCAACTCTGCATGTGTGTGTATGTGTGTGTGTGTATCTGTCAATCCATGTGTGAAGGCTCTGAATGCACCAGGCTGGCCATAACCTCAAGGAAAGACAAGATACAAGCAGTGGGGATAAAAAGAATATGACCAATTCAAGAGATGTTTACAAATAGAGAAGAGCTAAGAGTGTGGGAAAGACCAGAACATAAGGGTAAAGAAGAGGCTGTGTTAGAACTTCCTGCCTTCTGGCATTGCCATTAGGATAGTGGGGGCAAAGAGAAAAAAAAAGCCATCTGGGCACAGATGCTAGGTGGTACAGACTGATTGACTTCGAGGGGTCATTGAACAGCCACAAGAGATTTCTAGAGGGTGTATAAAGAGTTGCATTCAGGAGGGAAAGATGAATCAGGAGGAGAGACGTCAGTCACCCATGCACAAGAGTTGCTGGATGTGAAGAGGAAGCTGACGATGCTGGATTATGTGAAGAGAGAAAACGGAGGAACTCAACCATTCAGTGGGTTTCTAAAAGGCCAGCAAAGGCCACAGAAATGTTATTTGGCAAAAGAAGAAAAACCAGAAGGACTGAGAGAGGAGAATTTCA